AAAGAAAATATTGATAATGAAGGTTTTGCATCTACTGTACACAAATAATTATTTTTATCCCATAACTGTATGTAAGAGTGATTTAAAATGATTTCCTTGAACTAATATTTTCGTACTATTTATACTTGGAGTATGCAATATATATATAAAAAAAAAAATAATAATAATAATAAACATTAGCTTAATCAAAAATATTTTTATTACTTTTTTTTTCTATTGAAAAAGTGCAAATTACCTTCGTAACATTATTGAAAGTATCGATACTTTTAGAAGTATATAAAAAAAATTGGAAATTTTTAATTTTTAATATTCAAATAGTATTAAGAGACGAGCCTTCGGCACATTTATATCTTACAACCCATTAATCTACATTTATATCTAATTATCTACATTGTAATTTAAACTTAAAGACGGATGTCTATTCAGTAGAGAAAATCAAATCAATGCCGATTACTGTGACTTTTTTCTAATTTTCTTTATCCTTTTTTTTTTATTTTTTATTTTTTTACTTATTCATAGCTCAGTTCGTTAGTTTTAATTTATTAAAATACATTTCTCATTGTCTTTTTAAGTAAAATATTGTAGAAATCTATCGCTTATATCTTTGCGCGCTAAATACTTTAGTTACATTTATCGATATAAAATTTTGCTTCGTGGTTATTTGTATTTTTTAGAATTACTGCCTGCCTCTTACCTATAAGTATTTTTTTTTAAATAGTCGTGGACACAAATATTTGATTTTATTTAATTTTTAATTATAATTAATAAAAACTCGACACACGACGCGAGTTGCGTCGCCGGGAGTAATAAGTGAAAGAAGCAAAAACCCAAGTAGTTAGCGTTTCACGATAAGTTACTTACTAAGGCAATTCAAGATTTTTCTTCTCGAATAGAAAAACAGTAGGGAAAATGCAAATCCAAGCTCAAATATGAAAAGATATGGTTTTATCTAGGAGGTCTGCAACCGCATTGCGTGATTTAACTTATCGAATTATGATCTTGGAGCATGCAAGCGCGACACTTATTCACCTATACTAATTCAAAATGCCATTGTCAGGTTGGTAGTACAGGTGCAACGACCGCTTTGTACTTAATGTACATACTTAATGATGCAGCAACTAATGATTCGCAGATCTTACGTATATTCGTTACATGGCTGATAGTTATAATGTAATAAGTTTACGAACACAGTTAGTTATCCAGATTTTTAAATAATCTTTAAATAATCCAGATTGTCATCTCAAATAATCGCTAAAATTTTTAACTGATAAATAATATTAGTTTATTAATCTACTGTTAAGAATATAATACGATCCTATAACATATAACTTATAACTTATCAAATAGAACAATGAATTGCAGTGTTAAGATAATTTATATGTTATGAAATGCTTTGTTCAACAGCATCCAATGCGAGTAAGTATTATTCTTATTGCAAATTTTTCTAAATGAAAAATTTATTTCAACAAACAAATATGCTATTATGCATTTAAAAATAAACATCTAATTATTGTTTTATTATAGTAGTAAACGCGAAATACAATATTCTTACTTTCGAATAATATTTCTCGTATTAGTATTCACTACCTTTAATTTGCATATTGAAATTATACTCTGGAATTTCAAAAATAACTATACTTTAATTTTTTATAATAAAGTTAAATTAAAGAACACAGAAATTTTTAAGATATTTAATAGTTTTGTAGCTCGGTCCAATGAAAATGAAAAATAATGCTTGAATTTTACTTTCAATACTCTCATTATTATTATGAAGTTTAATCAACATAATCATTTAATATTTATTTAATGATGTATTTAATAAAATACGTTAAGCGCAGGTGTTTAAAGTCTCTTTAAGTTATCATTTTTTGTTGGCCTACGGATAAACTAGTAGCATTCAAAAAAAAAAGTTCAATATTATCTGCATTACTTCGAATTATTGATAATTAGTTTACTGCCTTATTGAATATCTACAAAATTTTAGATAAACTTATTGATTTATAAGATTAAAATATTTCTCTATGAAATAAAACATTTTATTTATCTATAGATGACAGATTTATAAACGATAAATATGTCGACTAAAAATTTTCTAAGTATACGATAAATAATATTAATAATAATTTTTATAAGGAAAAAGAACGATCGATATAAGAGGTATAATCATTTTATAATAAATTAAAATCAATAAGATAAATTCTATATTATATGTTTACTTATATTTAGGTAGTTAAATAATTTTCAAAAATTGAGAATAAATGATATTAATTAATTGTGTAACGGATTGCAATTTAAATATTAAAAATTTCTTGATTATATCCCAATAATCAATATTAAAAATAATATGCAATATGCATATACAAATAATTTGATTGTGATAAATAATTTATACAGGCAATTGTCATTCGCATAATGTATGAATCAATCAAGATATATATATATATATATATATAAATTATAAAAGATTTTATAGATTTAAAAGAAAATTTTAATACACAATTATATGTACTCACGGTATTACGGATTGCGTTAGTGAGCGTTTATGAAACGGCGAGGGAAACATTTGGTTTCTTCGTAAATTTCGATTATCGATCTGTACGTTCTTGGTATTTTCCTTCTGTAGTGTAAAAATTTTAAATTTAAAATTCAAATTAGTTCGTATTTATTTCTAATCTTGACAATAGATTTACGAAAATGAATTATTTAAAAAAACCTACACTTTTAACTGGGCCATTATTATATGCGACATAATCACCGTATTCGTATCCAAAGGATAAAGGATTTGGAAACGGCTCGTACAATCGCATACTTTTCTCTTCTTTTAAACGATGTTGCCTTTGATATATTGACTCGTACCTACAATACGACCATTATTAATGAATCAATTTTTGTCTTTTATCAGCTTGTAATTATTTTAAATAACTGTTAATTCGTAACGTCCCTTTTGACATTTAATATTGTTTAAATATTAAGGTATCATTATCATTACATTGTTCGCATTATTATAATATATACATTGTATCAATTACATTTGCAAGCTTAACTAAAAATATAAAATTTGCTTGGATTTTTAATCATTGAATATAATAAGAATAATAATATAATATGCTTTGGTATTTATAAAAAAATATATTAAAAATATCTACAAAATTTAATCAATAATATATGTACATACGTACATTTTAATTTACAAGATTTAGTAATATTTAGTAATTTTTACCGAGAGTATTCGTTAAAATGTATTGTAATCTTATAATCCCATAGACACGATTGTGACTGGTAAAATTATTTCGTTTTTTTCATTTTTTCTTTTTATTTTTTGTTTTTTGTTTTTTTTTTGTTTTTTATTTTTTTCTTTGGTTTGTTTTTTGTTGTGCTTATAACCAATGCTTTGAAATTAAAAATATCGAATATTTTGAGATTAATTGACTGCACTTACTCTTCCGTAGTATTAGATGAATATTCATAATTTGGTATTCTCCTCAAATCATCTCTCGAATTTTTTATAATTTTATTAAAACCTTTATTTAATTTTTCATAACTAAATGCTCGCTGATTATTATATTGAAAATTCTGAAGAGATATTTTTTTAACATCACCTTTAAATGTTGTCTGTAAGATTTCAATTTTAATTTCGTAATTTTAATGAAATTATTTTTTCTTTTTTATAATTAATCATCGATAGTTTTTACCTCAATTTCAGAATCTACATTGTCTAAAGATCTATTCAATTGCTGATGAGAATAACCATAGTTCAATGAAGGTGAAGTATTTCTTAAAGAAATTTTGTGCTTTTGCTGTTGATTCATATCACTGTAATATTAAATGTATTGTTTAATAACTTTTAATTCGTTAAAAAAAAAATAACAACGAACTTATTCGTTAAGGCAAACGTCACTGTAAATATTTTTTTGAATTTTAAAATATTTGGAAGATCTAAATAAAAAACAAAATAAAAAAACAAACAAAAAAACAAAAACAAAAAAAAAACAAAAAAAAAACAAAAACAAAATAAAAATTAATAATACCTTAACGTTTAGAGTGCGATCGAGAAACTTCTAAACGTAAGTACATACGTTGGCCAGTGAATATTTTTTACCATAAACTTTTCCACAAGACTATTGTTTTTAAGAGTTTTTAAAATTTTTTTACTTTATTATAGACAATTTCAAATTTGCAGTTTATATAAAAACATGATTAATTACAAAATTAATCTGCTATGTTAAATTTACCGTTCGTTGTTGTCTTTCTTTCTTTTGTAGAAAAAGAAATTGATTTGATTCACTTTGAATTAATTTTCAAGCGTATGGATAATTTAAATAAAGTTTTATATCACTTTGCATTGAAATTGCCGATTGCAAAGCACATTCCTCTGATAAGTTATTTCTTAATGTCGGTACCTGCTGCTATGTCGCGTATCTCGGTGATACCCCCACCGCGACGTTGATGTTGTTCCCATCGGCATCCTGGCGTTCTTTTTGTTATTCATCTCCGTGCTATGGAACTTTACACCCGTGTAGATTGGTATTTTAGACTCTTGTCGTGATATCGGTGCACTGCTCGTCACTCTCACCTGAATATTAGACGGATTAAGGCATCGGTATAACCTTTCAAGATGAATGAAGCAATGGGAAAACAATTTTTACAGGGAGAAGGATGATTGCTAACATAATGCGTAACGAGAAGTAATGAGTTATATACCAGAAAATGGAGAATTATGAAAGTGAAAGAACGAGAATTATGAATTGTGAATATGTACATGATGCTTTTGTTTTTTTGTTTTTTGGTATTATTTACTTGAGTGGTGTATTCGTCGATCTTTTTAGGTCGTTTTAACTTAGATGTATCGGAAATTTTAGATTCTGATTTTCTGTCAGTTAGTTTGGGATTTACGTAAGGATTTTCAGTTTTCTTATCTTTCTCAATAATCCCTTCGTTATGTAACTGAAAATCTAAAATAATGCGGTAAACCTATAGTGATCATTACTGTAAATGACATCGGTAAAAGCTTTGTAATAGTCGGTTATTACCTTTTGATAAATCAGCCGACTTGGCAGTTCGGCCTATTTTTTTGTATTGTATTTCTTGACTTTGTCTGTCATTCTGTAAAGGGGAAAATCTTATTTACTTTTAAGACTTTAGCTTTATTAATGATAGATCAATAGTATGAATAATAATTATATGGTTAACATTTATAGTTTCATAACCTGTACGGGAAAAGCTGATTTGTCTAAATGTCAAATGAAATATAAAATTTTACATTGAAAACTAAGCATATTCTTGATAATCTTGGATATAATTTCTTGTAACAAACACTAACATTTTCTTTATGAGGCCTCTTCAAAGTATAATGAAATAATAAACTCAACCACTGATTAATGGTTGTTAAATTATGATATATAAAATAAATAAAAACCCGCGAAAATAATCAATTATCGATTTTTACTCTTCCGTGCATATATTCAGATTTAATTGTAACTCCATATTTTTTTAGAAATGACATGTATTACAATAAATATTACAAATTATTTAAGCTCTATATATATATATATATATATATATATATATATATGCATTGTATGTATAAATATAATACTAGAATGTTAGAAAAATAGTACATTAGTGATAAACTACTAGAATTAGTAATTTAATTTTCGAAAAAAGTTTCCTATGTCAATTTAAGATAAACATTTTATATAATAGGAACGAAAATTATTTTAACAATAAGTTCAAATACTGAAATATAAATATATAAACGCCGTGTTTATACATTTACTTCATTTTAATATAATTTAAAGAAATTTAATCCATCATTTATATAGAACATTCGTGTTTATAATATCTTTCTTATTAATAACAATACTTAGTATATTCTATAATTATCAAATTATACATAGAGTACAGTTATCGATATATTATTAGCATTGTGATGTGCTAATTTTCATATATAATTGCATACATAATTAAAGTCAAACGAATTCTTATTTATAATAGAAAAATATAGAAACATGAATGAATGTTCAATAGAGTGATAAATTTCTCTACCGGGTACACACAATCGACAATTTTTATTACATACATTATTTGAGGGTAACAATTTCCAGGAAGCTGTTCTCTCATTATTTTCTGATAAATTAACCGTTGCTCCATTTGTATTAATAGGATCACACGCAGATTTGCTTTTTGATCTCTTCGATTCGTAATTTCTGTAATTTTAAATGAAAAGCTCATTATCAAACATACATTATATTTATGGGTATTTAGAAAATTTGCAATTACTGTTCATTCGTATTGTTTTCAATCTTCGACATGGCAATTAATTGCCCTCTCGTCCGTCCCGTTCCGGGAGATGTCGAGCCCCTTCCCGATACTATCCAATCTATATCAGCTCCTACAATTTATCATTTCTTAATTAAAAAATTAAACTTTCATTAGTATTACAAATTATGTAAGTTCCTTAATATTTATTTTAATATTAATTTTAAATGAAGCATAAAGAATAAAATAAAATTGATATTTGCTATTGTATATTAGCGTGTGTGAGGGGGCAAATATATGTTATAAATGAAGCACGAATGGAGAAAAATAAAATAGATCATGTAATAAATCTGGTCACTCATTACTTTTATAAACATAAGATTCGCATTCAATACGATATTATAGAACGAGATATTGCTGTATTGATATTAACTTTGAGTTGTCGATTAGTTGAGAAAAATCTTCCTATTATTTATATTGTGTGAAGTTTGGTGACTTGATTTATCATGAATTTGGAAGAAAATTTTTGTCAATTCCTCGTTAAAAAAAAAAAAAAAGAAAAAAAAAAATAAAACGTAATTTACCGGTATTTTGATAATTCGGTGAAATTTGAAGACCATAAACAACAAGTCCATCCATCAATACTGTTGGTAATAATTTTCTAGACAGCCGAGTTTTAATGGCTGCGTGTATTATTTGTCCATCTGGTCTATCTTTAGTAAAACGTTTGCTAGCTTCTAGAATATTCTAAGCTCAGAAAAATTTATTAACCATCGATTTTATAACATATAACAAATTATAAAATTAAAAGTTTATAAATTTTATAAATCTTGTACCTCTGATTCATAAATTTGAGATAGAACAGCTAAAGTATCGAGAGCCGAATGCCGCACTCTTTTACGATGATCTCCAACCAACGCAACCACCTTATCAATTGCAGATTTTACTTTAAATTCCGTGCTCGGAAATGTGATGAGTGAAAAAATTAAGAGTTGTAAGGTATTTTCTCTCATCTGAAAGAAATGAGAATAAAATGTCGATTAATTTCATTATACGCACAAACACACGCACACGGGCGCGCGCGCACACGCGCACAAAATTTCGTAGTGAACTTTTGTAATTTGTGTGATTTCTTACAACTATTATAAGTTTAATAAAATAATATAATTGTTAATTGTATTATTAAAAAGGAAGAAGTATTATTTCATATATTGCATTAATGTGGAGCTTATCGAACATTATTTCTCACGAATAATTAAGAAAATTCAAATTATAAGAAAAAATGAAAATAAAGTAACAATTTATTATCTAAGGAATGATTACGCTTTATAAGCAATGCATAATTCACCCTCATTATTTATACGACACATGCACATGGTAATGATATAAGTTCACCTTCGGACTCAAATTCAAAGTTCTAGCGATATTTTATCTAAAAATATTTAAGATTTACGCATTAATTGTAAATATTTACTTATACTATATCTATTATTTAACAACAACAACATAAAACGCGTGTTCGAGATTGAGAAATATCTCTCGAATATTATCAATTGGGAAAAATCCCAACGGGCTACCTTCAACGAAAATATTGAACGGACATAATCTTTAAGAAAGTTTTTCCACGGTCGTTCGAGGCTCGAAAAGTTTAGTATATCTTGAAAATATTCGAAAACAGCCACTTCTATTATTCTTTGCGCTACACATATGTTTATCGTTTTTTAATGCAGTAAACGACCGTTGGTTTTAGCTAGCAAGAGCGCGCCGAGTCTGTTTATACGAGAATATGTCAAGAGTGAGAGAAATATATAAACAATCGAGTTGAAAAATATTTCCTAAAATTCGTTTTTAACGAGAAATCCAACTCGTGCGACATCGGCCAATCCTCTTGCGTCCTCGATGCCCTCAATGTCACGAGACATACATTGTTGCCGTTTGCATATCCACACGTTGCCACATGCATAGGCCAAACGAAGACGTTTTACCAACAACACCTCCCTACCTCCCCTACCACCAAGCCCCAATAACCCCTCCCGCCCGACCACCGGCAACGTCGCCAAGTCCCGGAAAGGGGTGAGCCTCCCCACAATCGAAGGCGCTGCTGCCAAAAAACACTTTTTTCGACGTTGCGATTGTCCAAGTCAGCGTGGAGTAGCCAAGTCGGAATCAGTTCTCATTTATCGGTGAAAACTAGTGACCAAGTTTTTATTAAGTGATTCACTGACCGACCAGAAGGAAGATACATCAACCCTCCGGTGGGATGAAATCAAGGTCACCGTATCACTGTGAGTACACAAAGTCCACTCCGTGTCCATGACTCGAGGATCATCTTTTGTAGTGAAACATCCGTCACAAGAAATCGCATCTTTATAATTAAACTTACGACGCATCCAATACATCAATAATGTAATCGTATAATAAATTGTAAATTAAATCATCGAAAAACAAGTCCACTTAACTTCTCCCCGAGCATTTGCATTTGACGAGGGCGGGCGGCAAAAGTATGATATCGAAGCAATGGCAGTTCGGTTCGAGCCAAGAATTAATATATAAATTAATAAATTCGAAAATAACACTTTAAGATCATTTTAGTATTTTAAATTATTTTACACAATTTCACGATCATTGTTCTATTGATATTTATTTGACTCGATACTTGCATCGATACTTTTAACTAAAAATTCGTAAATCAACAATTTATATGGCCATGATATTTTGGATAAGTCATAATAACTTTAAATGATCAGCTTTGAGCAATCGATTTACGAGCATATAATTCGATCAATATTTCATTGTGTAAATTATAAAATAAAAATATCGATTAAATTTAGAATTATCATGTAGAGTGAAAATGATGATTTTTTTTTTTTTTTTTTTTGCATAAGTATAATTTTCTTCTGTCCATTCGTCGCTAGTGACTTTAAAAACAATAAGTATGTATAATGCAATTTATATGAATTTTGGCTTTGACAAAGTATGAGAGAAAGTAAAAAGGTCGCAACTACATAGGTCGGCCGAAACGTTTACCTTTGCATTTCTAGCACCGATACATTGTGGCTGCAGTAATTTTTCAAGGAACGCTCCAGGACTCGTACGAAGCATAGTAAGTCGTGCTAAATGAGCGGCATTTGGTCCTCCTTGGCGTGCTAAGCCCCAGGCGATTAGCGATAAACGATTTCTCAACGTTTCCTCCGTGACTCCACTTAGCACGACCTTAAACATTAACTTATAGTCATAGAACGCTCCATCCGATTACGCTTAACGACGTAACGCAATCGATAATAAAAATTGTAAGATTCACATTTTCATGGAATACTAGTTATACAGGCATGTAACATTCGCATTAACAGCGTATGAAATAAATATTAAACACACAATCGTTTATCAATCGAACAACTTGCGTTGTGCATTTTTTTACTCACTGGTCCAACTGCCTCAAGTCAAATGTAATTCGCGCGTCTTACCTTCGCGACGGCCAATCCGGCGGCTGCTACCCGACAGCTCCTCTCACCCCCGAGCACCGCGTGCAGCAGTGAACCCAGACGCGGTTCGACGCTACTCAGGATCGGGGGCGATCGGAGGGCACAGGCGATGTGCTCGAGACCCCGGACGCGTGCTCGCCAGTCGTCCTGCAAATGAAACGTCGACGGAATTAGGGCGGGAAAGCTCGTGGCAGCTGACGCGAGCTTTGGCCATTCGAAAATAAAATCCAGGTTCTCTTCATCCTTGCATGAGAAATTCGAAGATTCGCATCGTTTGATCGAGTCGACGAGGGCTGCTGATAATTGTTTCGCATGACTCGGTTCAGCTTAAGATCGATGGGCTTTTAATTTTGTTCCTGCGACTATTCATAAATTTATAGTCTTAAAGTTCTTTGAATAAAAATATTATTCAACAATTTATATCTTATGTAATGTCAAAATTAATGCTTAAAAATGTTTTTATGTACGGTGCGTCATTCTATACTATGTTGATAATGACTTTGCTTTATAGATGAATAGTTAAATGAAATTCTTTAAGCCATAAAAGAGTAAAAGTTAAGGAAAGAGATAATCAATTATATAATTTAAATTACTTATAAATCTTAATAGAATTCGATCGATCTTTATACAACCGATATAATTCAATTGCATTAAACTTTTTTATTTATTTGCATTCTTTAATAAAACTTTACCATAAAATCGCATATTTGTCTTTTAGATTCTTATTACAATCAATGATAATGTAGGTTTACTTCCGTTAATACTTTGTTATATTCATCGAGCTATAATATTATAGGCACATTTACCGAGATATTATTACTTTTCAAGCATATAGTTAATAGATAATGATGAATGTTTAAGACTATTTTCATTATGCAAGAACAACTTAAGTTCGTACTTTTTAACTGATTGTTTTAATTTTCTTATCCCACAAAAATATAGTAAAATATTAGTTGTTCATAATTTTGTAATGTAGACCTTTAATTATGAAAAAAAAAATAATAATAAATAATAATAATAATAATAAATAATAATAATGAATAAAATTTGTTGCATAACTTTAAGTCCAACATATTACGATTAAAATCTTAATACTACTTTTATAACTCTGGTAAAAGATGTTTTCCAACACATCTAAAAGGCTAAGTGTGCGATCGATAAAAAGTTCACGGCGGTCAACGAGCTTTCAGTAGAGTTCATCAATTACGCTTTTGAAAATGGATGTTGTCACGATCATTATGATTTATCTTGATAGTTTACGTGAAATACTACGTAAATTGATAATGATATCTAAAGTAAAATTTGGCGGAAACAAATTTTTAATTCCAAGAAATGTTCGTGTAGTGAAGTTTGTAAACATTTTTATTTGATAATTATGAAACGAATAAATGACAAACACGAATGAATATAGATAATGCAAATTTCATAATTTAATTAAACGTGTAAATTCATATAATGTTGACATTGAAATTTATGTTAAACGAAATCATAATTCGTTTAATTATCGAATCTGAATTTTTTATTTTTATTACAGCAGCTATTAGCTATTATAAACAAAAATAAATAAAGAAATATAAATTTAGTAATTTACAGAGATGTAATGTTTCCAAAAGTAATAAGAACACAAAGAATTATGAAGAATAATGGTTAATAGAACACTCGGCCAATTTGTTTTTCCTGCTAAATTCGTGATTTTAAATTCGTCTAAGGGAAAGTCTAGGAAGCGAGGTGAAATTGTATTCTCTAAATATTTCAGAATTTCGTGGGAATGAATTGCCACAATCACGTCTAGTCGACTGTCTTGCATGTCTGATTTACCTGCAGCACTACATTGGCGAATATGCCTCAGGCAACACGTACGTTACGTACACTAATTATTTTCCAGATGCAATTTTTCTGTCTATAATACAGTGTTCGCTGTTTGAATAAAAATTCGTGTAATGGCCGTTATAGGGCAAAAACCGGAAACTCCATTGTGAGCTTTCATTCGTGTAAACGAGGTACGAAAAGGTATAAGGCTGGCGCTGTCGTGCTCGGGGCAGTATAATCTCTTTGTGGTCTGTTTACTTTTTATAAATTATTCAAACGGCTCGACATCAATACAATTTTCAGATTCATCTTTATTCGCTGACGCTTAAAGTTTCATTAAACTTTTGTGTCGAATGATTGTCTTCTACAATGTTTTTTGAAGAAGAAAATTGCTTCTGAAATCACTGCAGCTCGGTTTTAAAGGATTTCTAATTAAAAATGAAATAAGGGAGCTTTAAATCATTTCTTTGCTTTTAAAACTCTAATGTATTATTACTCTATTTGAATTTTTCTCTACTCATCTATGTAAAGAATGAAATAGTTTGGAGACAATAATTAAGATAAATATCGCCTGGGAAGAAATTTTTTTAATATAAAACATTAAATGTGACAAATTACTTTTAAATATATATATATATATATATATATTGCATAAAATATTCTTAAAGTTTATTATATATTAAGATTTTGTTTTATTAAAATGTGTAAATTGCTTTAGATTTGTTAAATAACAAATTTTAAGATTCTACTTCGAAATTTGTTTAGTTATATTCTATAAGATTTTGCTGGACTTTTTAGTTTATTATCTGTATTTAGTTTGTTAATATTATTGAAATTAATGTGAATCGTCATTGTAACTATAAAAAGAACACTTTTTCAATATGATAATTATGATAATTAGAGCATGTAATACCATCAGTAATAATATAGAAATAATAATGAAATTAAATGTTTTGATTTGTGTTAGATGAATAATAACTAAATGAATAATAATTAAACTTCAAAAGTTTAACACAACGAGAACCATACTAATTTATAATAATATCCTTTCAAACTTACAATCAATATATTTCAAAGCAAGTGCACAGCCCCCCCCCTCCCCGCTACTTCTCCGTATGACCCTTAGCACACCATACAACCGATCGCACTTGAATTTAGCTTTAGGTATTATCGATTAAAATACTTCATACATATATATTATGGCATTACAAAGAACGCTATTTCTATATTTAAAATAAAAATATTGAAAACAATATCAATGATTATACATGTAATTACAAAATATGCAAAGTACTTAAAGCTCTAATGTTTTTCAATATTATCTAGCAACATAAATTATTTGGATTATTGCGTGATTAAAAACGTTAAAACAATGGTTGTAAGTTGGATTCGTGATAAATCTAAGGTGGTATAAAATATGAATAGAATAGAAATAATTGGCTTTCATTTCGCTATATAACTATGTTTGTTCGCATTTAATTTAAGAGTCAATGTACTTGAAATTGTTTCAGATAATATTTCAAAATTTATTTATGCACAATTGTTTATTAACGTTACAACAATTGACTTTAAGCAATATTTAACCACACGAATAATTATGAACCTCACGCGCTAATATTTAAAATGTATTTATTTTATGAATGAAAATGTAAGCGAACATTTATTCGCCAAAGAAAAAATATCGTTATTAATTAAAGCTTATTAATTTCACTATTAATTTTACGTTGAACCCTTTATAAGTAATTAGAAAAAAAGAGATTTTTTACTAACGCAGCAACTAAAATAATAAGAATCCTAATTCTCATCCTCAAGCAATTTGACATTGAAATGAACATCCCGTTCACAATGCCTAAGCAACTGAAGCACAAAATACAATAGTGTATGCGTTAGATCAATGGCCCCTCAAGGTCAAAGATTTGCCAGACCTTTCACAAAAATTAAAGAAAAGAAACCAGTTAGTTACTCAGGATCTCTGCAACGTAGCGGATCCTCCGTCCCAGCAATTCGATATTCACGAGTTATCAGTTTAATATTACTCTACCTATCGCTTTACTATTAAAGTGAAAATTCGAATAGCATGAACGTTATATATACATGTGATCGTGTGATTTTGTTCAGAAGTGTGAAATTTTCATCTTTGAATTCGATTATTCGGTGTATGGCTTTGCTTCATTGTACTATATTATTCACTTTATATCACGGAATGTGTTTTGAGGGTTAAAGACATAAAACAATTTACTTTTCATTCATAATATACGTTCTTTTTTTAATCACATATTTATTATTGTTATTATTATTATTATTATTATTATTTTTTTTTTTAATTTTATTTTTTTTTATATATAAAAAATATCAATTATAATGTTATTTCCTATAGTGTCGTTACTATTAATTTGACGTTTAGCGTTACAAAACACTAAAATTTTCATATTTAAAAATGTTATAATTAATTTTAATTTGTTAAGGTTACTTTATGATGTATTGCGTATGTATTGTTAAGTAAATTTTATTTGATTGTCTTTGGAAAATATAACTACTATGAATAAAAAATAAAAAAATAAAAAATGACGTTGAATTAAAAGCACTTACTTTATTGTAATGAATAAATGATTAGTTAAACAGTAGATGTAATTAATTAAATAAGAATATTATTAAAATCTTAGAATTTAATTTCTTTAATGTTTCAATTTTAATTTTAAAGTTACTTTAAAGTTATACAAATTGGACTAAATGATCCTTGGATTTAAAATGAGCATAAATTATATTTAGAAGTATTTTGATATTCCAAAAATTAATTAATCCTTTATTCTCTTCTTTTAAATTTCAAAAAAACTACGCAGATTAAACAGTCGATGCAAAATATGTATTTGTGTCGTCTATAATTGTATAAAATTTTTATATAAAAATTTATAATTCACATGTATTTAGTATTTGTAATATATTATGTATCAGTAGTAAATATCTTTAAAATAATAATAGAAATTATCAACATGGCTAATTATAAAATGGCAATCGTACGTATGTTACGATGGAATATGATTATTAAATTCTTCGTGTTACTTAGTGTTGGCGCTTTAATTTTTCGAATTTCAATAAAAATTATACCAATTGATACTCGAGATGCATCTTCATACAATAAACGATATTTCGATGAAATAATGGTGAGTTGAATAAAACTGCCCGGGATTTATTAGAAGTATAGCTACAGACGTTCTAAATAAAAGTTGAATTTATTAGAAGGAAGCGATGACCGAGAATAAGGAAAGACTGGCGCGAGTACAAATGCTATGTAAAAAATATAAAATGGGCTCATTTAAAACTATAGATTACCAAGTAGAATTTAAGGATCCTCCAACTCCACATTATAACATTTTATACATAGATAGGTACGGTTTAAATTATGTGACTTCGTTCTTTACACTATTCTATAGTTACCAAAAAATTTTTCTTACAATTTGTTAATTCTAATTTTAGTAAACACAATATATCCTACTGTCCTATCTATAAATCTGGAAGTACCTCGTGGATTTATAATTTATGCTTATTGAATGGAATTACGGAAGAGGAGCTTTTAAGTGGTAAAGAGCAAATTTCAGTTATTGCAAGGAGAGTAATGCCGGAACTTGACTATCCAGAAGCCGATGAAGTAAATGCCGTTTGCCCATTATATAATAGTGGTAGAGACGTTTGAAGTTTAAAATTCTACGTTATAATGAAAAGAAAAGTTTGTTTATAAAGATGAACAATATTCACTTTTATTAATGATATTCGAATAAGAGGTAGCGGTATCCTTAATCTTAGATCATTTATATTTAAGCTTTCGATTTATTTATTTATTTATTTTTATTTATTAAACGTGTCGAGAGATTTATTTTTCATAGTGCGATTCGACGAATATACAGCTTTTTCTTACCAAATCGCTGACATAATAATGAATTATTGTTACGAAATTGCAGTTTTTAAAAAAAACTATGAAACTACTAATTGTACGTCATCCATTCGAAAGATTACTTAGCGCATACCGTGACAAATTAGAAAATTCAGTAGCGGGACGAGAACATGGTACTCTATACTTTAATAGGAAATACAATCAAGCTATAGTGCGGAAATACCGTGGTAAGACAACAGAGAGTATAATAAAAAACTATAGATTGTAATTAGCATTAGCGTTTGCTCATGTAAATTGACTACCGTTTACATTATTATACATGTTTGCGTTAAAAATCTTGTTCAAATGACGCGACGAGCAGTCTTTCCAAGTAGCTAATCGAATCTAAGAAAGCGATAATCCCTAGACAAGAGCCATCCATTGCCGACGGTGGGAGAACAGGTGATACGTCGATCTGGACAGCCGGGACCCGCGGGTACCGAGGCAACCTGGCGCGAATTCGTCGACTACATCATCGCCACGGATCTCGCGAGCTACGCCGACGACCACTGGATGCCTTATTATCTTTACTGCACACCTTGCCTGATTAAATACGACTTTATCGCAAAGGTGAGTGACGCGCATGCGCGCGCGCGTGTGTGTATATATATCAACAGAGAACAGAGGCCAATGCACCGACCGATTCTTTATTTTGCTTATCTCGGGTTCGAAAAAAAAAAAAAAAAATAAAAAAATAAAAAAATTACGAGGCTCGCAAAGAGCTATAATTTTCGCCCCGACCCCTCTTCCCTGCTATTACACTCACGTTTACGCGTTTAGGGTAATGAGATAGCGTCTCGCGGGTTTAAAGTCTCGAATGATTGATAGAATCGACCCATATACAGGTGCTTACATCCATTTTACTCGTAATAATTGAAATTGACATTTTTTATTATTATTATTTTTTATTGTAAGGGATTTATATCGCAAAGGTTTGGGATGAGTAATATCGTAATGATTCGATCGAGTCTCAACGAGGTTTAATAAATACTGCAGGATCCTTATTATGTTGTAATGTAATTCTTAAAGAAATAGATATGTTAAAATCAATTTTGTCTTCTGAAAAAATAACTACATCGTTCCAAAATAAAAATGAAAAATTTTCCGTTAATATAGTTCATATAGATACTTTGCATCTAAAGGTACTTTACACATAATGATACACTACAATTATTATTGAATAGTATATGAAATTGAATTGAAATATAGAATTGAAAAGTATATGACTACAATTATTATTGAAATTACTAATTTTAGTGCACGATTACGAACATTATAATAATTACTGTTCTTCCAACAATAGGTCGAGACACTTGAACGTGATCAGACATACGTAATTCATCGGATGGGCCTTACAGATAAAATAAGACCACTTTGGAAGCATAAAATAAGTAATACAGACGCTGCTAAGGTTTACTTCAAACAATTGACCAAAGAACACGTGCGCAAACTACATGAGAAATTCAAATTGGATTTAGAACTATTTGGCTATTCGAGCGAACGTTACTATGATTTTGCCACATCTAGTACATGATGCTAGGCATTGCCAATAAAATGCTAATAAACAATGTCAAATTACTTGAAATATACATTACATCTAATGGGCGGAGAAACATTATTTTCGAGCCAACAAGACTTTGTCGAAACAAATTATTATGCTATATTGTCTATATAATTATACTATTGTTATTAAGATTACTACCATGCCACTCCTATCATTGACTTAATGTAAATAATTTCAGGCATTGATATGATGAAAAGTTCGTCTGTGAAAATGTGTGCAGTTAAATTTTAAAAACTTCATACAAATTCATTTATGTGCTAACTAAAATATATTTTGCTGTTAATTCACTATGATTACGATATAATTCAACGACCTTTGTCGAATAAAATTACGGATAATTAAAATTACGAATAAAAAACGATTATGGGTAAAAAATTATATTCTCGCTAGTAATATTTACTTAGAAACTTTATCCTCGTAATAACTGATATTATAATCTTAAAATTTATAATATATATATTGCAACATTGAAGGATTAATTAACATTATTGTCATATAAGTAACTGTGCTCGCTTTCGCAATTCTCTTAATATAAGAAATAACTTATCGTTTGTTATATTAACAATATTTATGCTTTTAAGAGAGATTTGAAAAAATGATACCTACTAATTTACTAATACCAATCAACGCTAAGTATTTCTATTTGGATATTTCGACACTCGATTAACGTTAACGATATAATCTTTCGATTAAAAACATCGATCAAACTCCTCGTCACTAAATTCGTGTAGTTATATTAATTAATTTAAAAATAATTAGATTAAAAAAAAAAAATGCTTTATTACCCGTATTATGAATATCATTTTCAAAGCATTTAAAGCCTTCAAAAATAATATCGATCAAATAATTATTTAATAAAGCATAAGTTAAAGCATCGTTGTACCGTAACTGACCCACGATAATAATCTTCATCGAGAAAATCGAATGATCGTTCATCAGCTGCGATCACTTAGCCTTGATTTATTCAAAATGACCGAGCCGACATCTTGCTACTACTATCCATACGTTAAAATCATCATTAAAATCGCTGTCATTAACGGGACGCTCTTCAAACATGCTCGTTTGGCCAGGGCGGGGCGAGACATAAGCGCATCGACGCAATTTAAGTGCCCCAAATCGCAATCGCTGACACATTGAAAGCTCGCGTAAGCCCGAGGCCGGGCGAGCTCGGGGAGAGAAGTTTCGAGTTTTCCACGGTAAGTTACCGATCGATCGCCGCGTGACCCACTTTCCACGATATGCCGGCTATCTTGTCAAAGCGACAGCTCGTTTCGGGTAACCGCTGAGGCGGAAGTGCGTGATAAAGGATTTAGGTGAGTCGGCAACCAGTGTGCTTCGCTTAACCCTCCCTCCCCTCATTCTACTCCTCGTACCCTTGTTTAACACGATTGACTAGTATAAGCGAAGACCTCCACCGTCCTTTTTGCTCTTTTCCTCAGCCCAGTCGACGCTAAGGACTAATTTGGTCGCTCATACGTCGACACGCAGCGTATAAAATATTTGTAATCAAAAGATTTTTCCTTCGCTCGAATGACGGACTCTGTAATAACGCCCTTCGCATAGAAAATGCTTTCGAATTGTGAGAATGAATTGTTGGAAGGTGCCGAATTTGAAAGAATCGACTACTTGTGTCGTAGTTCGTAATACGATATTTCATGAACGGAATTAAGGAAATAAAATAATGGCTCGTCGACATGTTACTTTTTACATTGTAAAACGAGACATGTAGAAATGAAATGAAGAAAGACCGTTTAATATGACAATGACGAGGCAAGCTTTCCCTTCATAATGTCTATATTACCTTTAAGCTGAAAATTTAATCGTAAAATCGATTGTGTGCACAGCATTAATATGCGATACAAGAATCTGCTTTATATTGCTATAAGAAATGCATGTTGGGTAGAAAGTGTTAAAATGTTTATTTTAATCTATCTAATTCTACGATCGGTGTGTAAAATAATGTGGTAATAAAGTTATGACTATGACGCATTATAAATTACTTACTACGTTAAGTAGATAAATTATATTAGAAAATCCGAATATCTCTTGTGTCGAAGCAACCTCTCACAAGTTTAATGATTCATATGAGAATCAATCAACAGTTGAAGTTAATTTCACCATTTTACTTGTTAATTTCGAATGTAGCCTAATTTAATATATATTTAAAGTATATGCAACTACTAATTAGTACAGCCAATCACATAACGATTACTTTAACATCAATTTCTAAATAATTAATTCATATTAATCTTATTATAATCAATCATTCCTGACCTACATAATAAATCATTATAAAGCCCAAACAATACACAGATTATACAGAGTTTTTAATAATAGCTTTAAGACAAGGTTGGCGATCGATTTGATTTCCTTGAAGGTAATTTTTCACGTAAACGTCTTCAAACGCAATTTACGTAAAAATTACAATATTAAATCAATCCTCTCTCTCTCTCTCTCTATCTCTCTCTCTCTCTATATATATATATATATATGTATATATATATATATATATATATATATATATACATATTTATATGTATATTATCAATGGATTTTATCTGGATTTTCTCTCTGGATCAATAATCTGGATCAAATAAACTAAGATTTATATTAAATTAATTATTTCTCGCTATTGACAACTCAACGATGACGTAATTAAAGAATCGTTCTTTTTTCTTTTAACGAAGAAAAAGTTTCTAATGAAATAGCGTTTTATATTATTATTAGTCTTTAATAATTTGACATTTCGTTACTTTATTTATAAGCTGCGGCGCGATACGTTAAATTTCAATAATTTCAATAATTACGTGTGCTGCATATTATACTGCCACATTAAATGTCTTCAATGTAGTTTTAGTATTTAGTCTCCGTTGGTCTCTCATACATTATCGACGGGCTATTTAAGCTCGACGAACCATCATCCGCTTATTTACACAGGCGAATAATAATCATAATAATTACTAAAGCTCACCTTGTTGTGGAAGTCGTTTAGGACTTCCTCGTCCACCACACCCAATTCCTCCCAGCTCGGCTCTTTATTCTTCCATTCTCCGTCGCTGCTAATGTCGGATAAGCGTTCCTTGGCATCGAGCGTCGCCTTCTCAATATTATCGTCGATTACTTCCAATTGCATTTCGCCGCTGCTCGTTTCTTCCTTAGGTGCCGCCTCGCTCTCGGCCTTTTCATTTTCCGCTCGTTTATTCGAGTCAACGTGCGATTCCTCGGGCTCCTTAGTATCTTTAATATCCATCTTTTCGTTAATTTCATTGCTCGGTACCTCGCTCGTCTTTTCCGTTTTGCTACCGATTGCCATCTCCTTGGACTCTCCATCCGATTGATTATCCTCGAGGGATGTTCGTCTACTCGAATCTTTTACGGGACTCGAAAGCTCCATGAGGATGTAATTTCTCTCTTGGCGAGGAAATACTTCGAAACCTGGTATCTTCGCCGATTGGATACGACGACGATCTTTTCCTAGCGGACATTTAGTAGTGCAATGTCTCGTGTAATGAGTTTATACCAAAATTTTCGCAAATATGCGTAATTATAGTCGTATTAAAAAAAAAAAAAAAAAAAAAAAAAAAAAAAAAAAAAAAAAAAAAAAAAAACATTGTTATATATTATAATATTATATTCGGTTTAACGAATGAATCGATGATATGTGGTAATGAGATTCCGATGATCACACAATCACTGCAACTGACTAATTGAATAAATCACCCTTTTATTAATATTCAATGCCAAGCAATGAATAATTATCATTCATAATATTAATAGTACAGTTGAAATGGGAAGTCATTTATTTAAATCTTCTCATATTATCTTGAATGTAGAATAATATTTATAACGCCCTGAAAGGATATTAAACGTAAATATGGTAAAATTAATAAATTTGCTTCCAAGACGCGACAAAAGATTATTCAAATATTTACTTCATCTATATACCGGACAGCATATAAGTTTGCCATGCAAAAAGATTATGTTGATCTATGTGCAAATCATGCTACCTTTCATTTACACTACGAGAATATTTATTAGTCGTTAAAATATCTAAGAATATTGAAATAAACTACAGATTGCAGAGCGTACGCACGATAAAAGATTTTAAAAAATTTCATTATGCATATTAAATTTATGAATGATTTATATCGAAAAACAATATGGTAATTAATCAAGGTCTTTTAAATTTTAATTTATCTTCAATCAATTAACCTGCATAGTAATTGAGCATTGTGTAATTATATATCAATTGAGACAGGATTTTTTTAATGAAAGAATTGATCTTTGACAATTGGTAATAAATATTTATGCTCTGGAGAATTGATTAATGGTCCAACAATGTATTCGACGCCATGATTAAATCAACAATGCTCTTAAATATTATCCAATACATTAATCATAATTGGAAATTGGAAAAGTGAAATTTGCAAAATTATTCCTATTTTCGTGCTATATGATTCGTCCGCTGCGTTCATAGAAATACGAACACGAATTTTGCTCTTTCTACCTACCATTTTCATCCGTACCCTCTTCCTCGCTCCATTCTAATTTCGTCGTCTTTTCCGTGGCCGATTTCGATCGGTACATGGAGCGAATAAAATTTTCTTGATCCTTTAACATCTTCTCGTCGAAGTTGTATCCACTTCTGTCACCAAATACGTAATCAACGTTACCCTTAATTCGTTCCTCCTCGATCCCACAAATGTCCCCCAGTACACTCGACCTGTGATTTTTGAAATGTAATTGCACAAAACTTTCCCCAGGCTCTTCGTAAACGCAAAATGATGGCTCGGATTCTGGTTTAAGGCCCTCTCCTGCGCTAATAAGCCCTCTCGGAGATAAGACTGCAATGCTGGAATCTCGTTGGGACGCTCGAGGACTGGCGGTCCTCATTTTTTGAGCTTCTAAAGTATCGCTGGAGTAATTAAAATAAAGTGATGTAGATCGAGTATCATTACACTTTTATAATTTTAAATAATTAACTAAATGTGTCTATGTGTATGTGTATGCTTAAATTGTAGGGTTAATCGTGAAAATATTGTTCTCGATAACAGATTTGACTCAAACAGTATCGACGATTTTAAATCATTTTCTTTCAATTATTAACGTGTATTTTGCATTATCTATAAAATAACGTGATTACCGAATATTTGTAATTCAAGTACAAATAAGCGAGGAGAGCGTATTCACATTCACGTATTCAATAATATTTCGACAACTCGTTAACTTTAATAAACGCGAGTGCTTTTAATTAATAACCGGTAAGATTCTTCGATGGCATTAAACGACAAAGCTCGTATTACGAGTGTGACGGACTTCTTTAATGGACCGGGCGATCGGGAAAAGGGAAAAAGTCCAACTTCGCAGGCGGAATTTGAAAACGGGGGATCGAGCAGGCTGGAGAAAGTGGTAAGTAAGGTCGGGAAGGTTAATGAGTGGTTAGTGGCGCTTGCGCGACTTCCAGAGAGATCTCCTCTAATCCCAAGAGTCCCACATCGCGCGTCCGCTCGTACCTGGACTGCAGCTCGCCAAACTCCGAGCTCTTGGCGAGTATGCTCTTCTTGGGGCTGAGACTCGCGTCGTGGGTGTGCGACTCCCGCCTGGGACTGCTCGAGGCGGAACGCCTCCGGAGCGGGGAGCAGACCCGGGTGAGGCTCGGCTGGGAGGAGGAGCGGGCGCGCCTCCCGAAGGGCATCCGCGTCGCCGGGGAGACCGGGAGCGGTATCCTTGTGGGAGCCGACCGCTCGCTCGCCTCCGACACCACGGACTCGGCGTCCTCGCTGTCCGGGGTGCGCAGCTTCACGACCTCGCCGCCAAAGTGCACGCGCCTGCGCGGAACAGCACAAAGGTTGGCTTTGCAGTTGCGTTCGCCGACGCGGACCGACAGAGTCCAGATGAGTCCCGGGTTTAATTTGCCTCGCGATAGCACGACGATCGAACGGACTCTCCTACGAGTAATTTGCTCGGACATCTCAAAAAGCCGCCGATCCAGCCCTGGGGAGGACCCCAGTACACAAATGCGCACTCCCAACCAACGTCCCGTCGACTTCTTGTTGTTGTTATTATTATTATCACTACTATTATCACGAATATTATTACTATTACTATTGTTATTGTTATTATTGTTATCATTATTGTTATCGTTATCATTATTTTTATCGTTATCATTATCATTGTCATTATCATTGTTACTTTCGTATGGATGGACTGTCTATACCGGCTCAAACGCATGTCGCTGCGATTGTATAGAGGCAATCGTACTTGCGGTCTTGCTCCCTCCACTCTTGCTCCGATGGAAGACTAATACATTCCCCGATACCTTTATTAATATCCCTATAATTAATCCTAATGATATCATTAAGAATCGAGAGTGCACGAGTAGAGGTTATATTGGTTGCAAGGTAATTGAATTTATTTAGCGGTAAGTTTATTTTTGTCTGCGTATCGCATTTTGATTGTACGAATACAATATTCAATGAATTATATGTAAATCTCGCATAGGATTATGTTTCGATCGTTTCCATGTAAATCACGCGTAAGAGTAACAGTAAATTATGTGCAATGTGCCTCATCGTTTAAGTTCCAAAGTTAATCTTTCGAAAAAGTTAATCTTCCGAAGCTTGAATATGTAAAAGCTTAGCAGGGATGTAACATTTAGTTGTAAGAAATTTAATTATACACTGCCCATTATAATAAGATGCCTCAGTTGTTTTATAATTAAATGTTAAATTTTAACTAGCGCGTCTCGCCATAAATGTAGACAATTCAAGAATGCGCGGAAGCTCACCTCGGTGTTTTACGACGCTCCTCCGACACAACGACAATCTCGGGAGCCTTGACCATCGGCAGCGACTCCACGACCTTCTGGAGTTCGTTTAGTTGCTGTTGTCCGTCGATCGGCAACCCTTCCACTTCCTTCTCTTGCTCCTCGAGAATCGTCATTGTGATGGCCGTCTCCTCGTCGAATTTAATTTCCGTCTCGAGGACGACGCGTGTCGATGCAACACTGCACGTCGACTCCTCGTTCTCCTTGACGACCAGCGATACTCCCGCATCCTCCTCCATTTTTTTCCAGCTCTTTTTTACGTCCACTGTCTCCTTTAAAGCCTCGTTCGTCGAGTCTTTCCGTTGAATTTTGCCGCCAACGTATCTGTCGCTAGTCCTCGACTAGTAGTGGCATTCATTCATAAGGTTATCGCTCAGTAGGAGTTCCAATATGTAAAATTTTACATCCCCATATGTTTCATAATAAAGCGTAATAGAGCATCGTCGTACCTTCATATTGAAAATGATTTTTCCATGATTTTTTTTTTTCTTTAGGCTTGAAAAATGGCTCATCGCCACTAATCTTGCCACTAATATATGATTGTCCGATAATCTTGCGATATGAAAATATTTTTCCAACTTTATTCTTATTGTTATTGACATTGCTTTAAGTAATCGAATTTGAATAAAATGTCCCTCTTAATGTAATTGCTAAGACGATAAAGCGGCGCGTTAGAACGAGTAAGAACGAGTAAGAATGAGCGATCGAAGTGAGCTACTATTAATCAAAACCTTAGATTTTCGCAATCGATCGTGATGTCAGATGCCAGGATTACCCAATGAACCCTCAATGAAACCCTCTTACCTCTGGGCGTCTCCTGCTCGTCATGGGCGAACTATTTTGAATCGCGTATACGTCGCAGAGCAGCTCGAAGTTGCGTTTCATGCTGTCGTCGATCTCGTGGAGGTAGCCGTTGAATTCCTCCTCGCCGATGGTATCGCGTATTTTGGCGAGTGAGCGCAAGGCTGACTCCTGATGCGTCACCTGCACTAGCCTCATCGCCAGGGCTTGAGTGGCCTCCCTCACGATCTCCTTCGAGGGTTTAACGCTCGAGCGCGAGGGAAATAGCAGGAGAGGCGTGCTCACGATCACACCCTTGGCGACGCTCGTCTGGTAATTGTCCAGCACGTCGGTCCGGTTAAGGCCGTCTTGGAGAATCTGGAGAGGATCGAGGTGAGTAGGTTTCTTTCTTTTTCTTTTTTTTTTTTTCATAGCACGCGTGCGGAGACGTAACGTTTATTCATGTTAATATCCGATGTCAATGTTACGGGGAGTGACGCAAAGGTTCGTTTATGGCTGGATTTAAAGATTGTCTTTCAAATTGTTGAATTCTATTTCAAAACAATGTTAATGTTTATGGAAAATTAAGGACAATTTTCAATCGATATTGTGACTATTATCAGAACTCTACCTCAGAACCTTCCTACCCCATAAGTTTTAAAGCAAAAAATATAACGTCGTCTATCGAATGGCAATTACGAGTCAATTGTATTTCTTATATAATTATTGTAAAAAGCAGATGACTTTACCTATTGCTTTACCTACCTTCTTAGTCAGCTCGTCTCGTCTCGGTGTATGCAATAGATAGATTCTAATTGCATCGAGGGACCCCTTCCTTACGGCTGGAGCTGAATTTCCAAGGTTGTCAATGAGATCGGGCAAGACGAGGCTTGCGATATTATCGATAAGTTCGGTATTCAGTGTCGGCAGAACATCGACGAGAACGCGAAGCGCATGCTGACGTACTTCCCATTCTGGATCACGGAGTCTGTCCGAGATCTCATAAAAGATCGTCAATACATCCTCATCTTTGGGAAATTTCTTCGTCCGTACCTGTGGCAGTTGAAAGTCATAACGTTATAGTATGAATATTATTTCTATTCTTCTTATACGCATGCGCGTATAGAAAAATAAATAAAGAACATACAAACGTGCTTGTACGTATACAATGAAAGAGAGAGAGAGAGAGAGAGAGAGAGAGAGAGAGAGAGAGAGAGAGAACGAGAAATAGTTAGATATTATAATCAGTGCTACTGGATATTATAAATTAATGTCAAATTTTTCATTACATCGGATATTAAGCAGATTTTTAACAAATATTAAGAATTCGACACAAGATGAAATTAGTATAAATGCAGACGAATGCTGACGAATATTAAAGAAATTAAATTAATAATGTAATCTTTGAAAAGAAATGAAAAATCTTAATCTCTGAAAAGCATTACTATAAACGTATTAAATTGTGAGATTGTAATATAAATTCATAACATTAAAATACATACAAATTTTGCAATTATGAAATATGATATACTACGACGCTACGATTGAAAAGATAAGTCAATTAAAGGACTAAAATTTCATGAATATTCCCGACTTTCATTGACGCTCGCCAATGCGATTCTTGTGCGAACATCTTTAAAAACTTATAAAAACACGTGAAATTGCGAAACTGCATGAAATTTACGTACGACGTACTCCCAGAGGGGAGTGAGTTGGACAGGTTGGATGACCTGTATCGCGGGGCTAGACATCTTGTTTCGGTTGGATTTCGATGGTCGGGGCAGTTTGCGTCGGCCGAGTCTCGTGCCTTCCTCGATAAAAAAGCTGTCGTCGAGCAAGGGCACCGTGTCCTGCTGGGCCTGTATCGGCCCCGAATTCGTCGAGCCCGTCATGGATGCGCCGGCGACGAGGGTCGCGCTGCATCCGAGCACATCTCGCTTTCATGATGTTCATCCCTCATTTTTTGCTGGTTCTACGATAATATCCAGTTTAATATTATTAATGACGCATTTGCAAGTAGATATTACGATCGGTCTCTTTGATTGAATTTCTTTATTCTCCTTTGTATTAATTCTACTTTGTAATTAATATACAAAGTTGTATTGTCCTGTATAGTATAATTATTGTCAGTTATTTTAAACGAACGATTATTAATAATCAAAGAGATAAGGGGAGAGAAAGAGATAGAAAGAGCTAAAGAATGCATTGATGTTCCTACGAAATCCGATGTAAAAAAAGAAATGCCAATGAAGAATATTAAAATGTTTATTAAACGTCAGAATTATATACACTATATATATTCGGAATATAAATAAGGAAAACAACAAATTTGTTATACATCCAAGGTGCAATATATTCCAACGGTAGAAAAAGGGCCGTTTCTATATAAAAATAAAATTCGTCAATGTAAAGTGACATAAGAACTGTATTTGGGTAAATTTAAAGTTGTAGAGACGTTGGAGAATATCCCGTCTAACCGAAAATCTTAATTAGCGTAGTAAAATCTAATAAACAATTAGCTCGGATTAATTGATTAAAGATATAAATGTTCGTAGTTGGAACGAAATCACCTTCTCATCTTTAAAATATGTATTTCAATATTAAGAACATTACTGTAGTTGAGAGCATTCAATTACATCTTTCGTAAAATAATTTAATAATCAATTTTTTATTTAACTCAATTTAGCCCCATAAATTAATCTCATCTGAATATCTAAATATTAAAAAGAAAATACGTTCTTATGCTCATTATATTTATAGATTACCAAAGATTTTAAAGATATATTTAAATATCATTAAGAATCAATGTTTGATACAATACTTGAAATAATAGAAGCTGATTAAATTATTATGATTATATATTTTTATATATTAACAAATAATAAATTTATTAATATAAGGTCCTTATATTTAATTAATTAATGTACTCGACAATTTAATTGACAGAACGTGTTGACGTATGAGATTTTTTAATTCAATAATTTATGGAAGCTTTACATTATTTACGTCTAATCAATTGAGAATTAATGATAAATTGCTATATTTATTCTTTGTTATTTGTTTATTAAATTTATATGTTATAATAACAAATATTGCTTGTAAAATTTGTTAAAAAAAAATGCGTAAATGGCATATCAATAATAGTGTTTTACTAATATTTAACATTGAAATTTCGTAAACCTTAAAATTTATATTAATTATTTACTAATTTATCTGAAAATAATAAATACAGAAAAGTTATTCAATTTCAAACTTTAATATGCAAATGTTTATACTAATAGCATATAAATAAAATATTTTCTAAATATACATCGAATTGCATAAAGACAGTAATCGTACATTCCAATTTATTCTCGATTTTTAAATAATATAATTTAGGAAATAGAGGAAAAACAATGTGTTTAAAATACCTGGGAATACAATTATTCCAGATAATATCTTTCAATTCAGAAGTAAATTAGCATATTGTTTTACCTCATAATAATGATAAATATTAATAAATTCAATGTTTTAAATTTATCTAAAGCGAAATTTACTCTATATAGTAATATATATATATATATATATATATATATATATATATTGTTTTCTACTTGAAACATTCGTTTAACTCGACGTGCTAGAAAATTGATTTCCTCATTTTAATAAATTATCAAAGTATTCAAACTTATAAATATATATATATTTGCAGACGGTTTCATGAAAAATACTCGAGTACATATAGATTTGTAAGGAGGAAGCTGCACATATTTATAATAACTAAGTATGTCAAGATTACCTAATGGAAAATTCGATTCAAATTTGTAATTTGTTGACAATAAAAATTTTATTTTAATGCATTCTCGATAATACCATAAGTTTATTAAAAATTATCATTTAATATAGTTGTTAACGTTAATAAGAAAATATGATGAATTTGGAATAAACTGGAAACACAAACATTATAACTGCTATTGAATGTGCATCACTCGTTTAAAAAGTGATGGAATTATTATTATTATTATTATTATTTTATAAAATATATTATATATATATATATATATTTATATTTATATTATCCCCAATTACAAATTTTCCTGGATTTTAACAACATCCTGTTATATTAACATTACTGTAAATTATTATGAATATCGTAACTCATTTGAATGGCATAGTATTATGTGAAGTGCATTTAAAAAAAAAAAAAAAAAAAAACTATTTGATAAATCAGAAGAAAAGAAAATGAAATATGAATCGACTATACAATTATTACAATATATCGTCGTAGGAATAATAACTTTCAAAGTAGACTTAGAACACGAGTATACGGAGCTATAAATACAATGTCAGTCGGCAGTAAATTCCATGTAAAACAAATCTTCGTTTAAAAATACAAGTAACAAGTAGCGTAACAAATAAATAAAAAAGTAAAGCACTTGCCACTCGTTACATTTTAATCGAGGCTCATGAGTGGCCCCTTACTTCAATCAACAATCACCACCGACCGCCAAGTACTATTCAATGGTCATAGTCACCAGTATCAAGGTGATAATAGACCTAAGGATGCCTCGATAAATACACGGTCAAGGTACATTATCGTCCATTTTCCCTTCCCCTGACGATAAGCTGTGCTTTATCATCGTATTGAGCGAGCGAGAGACAGAGAGACGACGAGTGCATTCGACATATTTTTTTCTACAACGACGTAGATCGGTTGTATCGCCGTTATTTCGTTAAATATGAACTATGTTTACTAATTACACATTTCATTACATATAATTAAATTATAACGTTATATGAACGTGTAGATTCCATTCATCTGATCTTATAAAGTTCAAAATACTAGAAGAAAACAGAAGGTAAAACAATAAAAATAATATTATTGCAAATAAATTTGTAATTTTGAAGTAAAGCAAAGTACAAAAAGATTTTTAAAATCATAATACATAATACAACGATCATTTATTTCAAGTAGAGCCGGTCTCTCTCTCTCTCTCTCTCTCTATTATGCGATATGTAGGCAATTCAAATATATATGTACTTAAAGACGCATAATATTGTTAAGAAAACGTTTGTCGAGAAAAAAATACATAAAAATTTATTATCAATAGTGTTAAAAACTGCTATTAGTATTATAATTAACAATCACTCGTCGATTTAAAATAGAATAATCTGTACTTTAGGCAAATTAGATGAAAAATAAATTTTTCTAATCGCAGTAATTAATTAAAGATTAAGTGCAAGTGAATTTTTATAATACCAATAATAATTCTGAATTACACGGCATATCCTAAAGAAACTTTATCTTTAATGAATTTTATATTTAAAATTTAATTTATGTATTTATATTATTTATAGTATTTATATAATGACGAATACTTTATAAATATTTATAATTTCAATATCATAATATATCAAGAAGTAACGGTGTTTCATACTAGAATAAATACTATCGATATTTAACTTATAAAAAAAATATTATTAATATTAATCAATTATCCATTCGTTAAACGCCTATAATTTCCCAGTGCCACAATCGATATCACTATAATTGATAACAAATTTGTTAAATAAGGACCACAATACCTTTCACCGTTTATATTATTACTAATGCATTAAAAATACAAAAAAGGTGTGTGCGTGCACGCGTGCGTGCGCGCGCGCGCGCGCGTAGGTTCGAGTGTACACATGAAACTGTAAGATTATATGTTGGATATATTTATAACAATATAATATAACAACATTTATAGAATAACTTTTAAATTGTTTATATATATATAACTAATATAAATATTTAAAGTATTATATATTATATCCATATTATTTAAAATATAGAAAAATAATTCTATTTTTATATTAATTATATTAATGATTGTGAAACAAAAATTTTAAATAATAAATCCAAAACTACTTCAATTGTCTTTGTTGTTGTCTTTGTTGATTGTTTATCCGAATATATCATCAAGAAATATTATTTAACAAATATACTTTCACATGTTATGATAATTGCAGATAATAACACTTAATTCTGTTTCTTGTTTAAACACGCAGACAATGCTATGGGCATTATTTTCGCGATAATTTTTCATCCACGAATTGCATGCCATTGTATCGCACTACGACGAAAAAGTAAAATCATAAAATACATGCGGAACATGTATTTTATGTGTTACAAGGAAAAAATTGCCAATTGATCAATAATTTTATAAAAGTAGTGTGTTGTAAAATCGAAAGAAAAATTAAATAACGAAAGGATTTTTAACGTTTACTTAAAACAAAAACTATATATATTAAAAATAAAATATATAAAAATAATAAAATATAAAAAAAAAATTATATATTAAAAAAAAAAAAATCATAAACAAATTGTTAAAATATTAATTTTATCAAGACATTCTTATGATCTTGACGATTCTTTAAGCACGTGAGTGGAGTTTTTTAAAAGCTGATAATTTTTATTCGATTAAAAAAATACCTTTGACAAATTTTGTGAAAATTGTTAAATAACATCGAGATGTTTACAAATATATATTAAAATTATGAAACTCTTTGATTAATCTGCTAAACAATCAGTTTTCGATTTACTTGAAATTTATTCATTGGAAGATATTGCCCTCTTTGGGTTTATAAAAATAAATAAATTTTATTCTTATATAATAATTAAAACGAATTAGAATCCAGAATTATCCATTTTTACTTAATACTTTCATTAATTTAAGCAATATTATTTTGAAAATGGTGAATTGATATCTATGCATTGGGGGTTTAAAATTGCTTAAACACATTACCATTATAAAATTACACTGAAAATTTATTAAAACTTATAATTCATATATTTAGTATGAAGATCAATATCAGCTAATATTTCTAAAGATCAAACGATATTCTCAATCTATACAATTCGGAACTTATA